TGTGTGGAACATATAGCTCTGCCTGTTTTAAATAGACACACATACACACACACACACTCAACAAAGTAATGAAACACATCACCTTCCTGTCATGCTTTGAACAAAATGCACTGAATCCAGGCCACCCTCTTTACTCGATTCAATTTTTAGTTAACTGCATTACATATGCATGAGTTAATTGACCCATCAAATCAGTGATGGGAATCTCCCCACATGTCTCTTTTCTTGTCTTAATTGCAGGTGGGAGTGAGGAGAAACAATGGTTGGATAATGGGATTCAGCTCTCAAATCAAAACTTCACTTTCTCTTACACAAACAATTCTGTGCAGAGGAACCTTCTTCCTCTTATTAGTCCACGCCCACGGCACCATGGAGCCAGACTAAATAAATAAATTACTGATTCAGATGCCTGCTTACTTGCTAACCTTGTTAGCTTTTGCGCTACAGCAAACAGAAACCTCCTTGTTTGTGTGTGTGTGTGTGAGTGTCTGGTTTGATTGTATTGACTACTGTTATATCCGTGTGTATGCTCATATTAAGGGTCCATTTCTCTTCCAGCAGGCCTCATTCATTAACCTTATGTGTAAGACTGCTCAGTGAATGTAGGTTACTGCTCAGGCAGACATAATTCCCTGAAGGCGAAGAGAGGCATTAGCATGCCGTTATCTCGCCACATTCCCTGGAGCTAAGATGACTCCAGAAAGATGCTCTCTGTCTCGTATGAATTTTTCTGGACACACAATCATACAGTAAGCTACCACACACACACACGAACGCACACACACACAGGTAACACAAAAATAAGTGGATGTCAGACTCAGAGCAAAGAATGAGGACAGGAGTAAAATAGGCCCATCCTGACAGAATAAAGACAATCGCACCTTTTCATCAGCCAGATGTTTTGATCTGAGCTGATTTTGTTTACACATCAATCATGGAGAAACATGGGACGGGGCAGAATCAGCCCTTTATCCTGACATACTTTACATTGAGTGGATTGAGGCTCAGAGAGTTATATGAGAAGAACGGAGAGGATTGGAACAGATGGCAGGAGTCCCCCCTGGGCGAACGGCGCCTACCCCGCTGAACGCTGGGAGCTCTTGACCATCTGGACCAAAAGGCAATGAGCAGCACCCTGTAGCGGATTCCCCATCCAAGCGACATGGAAAAGAAGAGGCGTGCACACTGGGTACAATGTCACCAACATGATGTCCATCAGCTCCATGTCAGAATAAGGTGTACCACATGCACTCATGTTGAATGATCAGATTTACAGGAATGAAGGGCATGCTGGGTTGGAGGTTTAAATCGTTTAACTGCTGATTCTTCCTGGCACATCATACACAGATACAGTTTGTCTTGTCCCATGCCAAATCCCCCCCAAAAATATTTTCTATGATAGATGCAAGGAGATCTCTCAGTACTCATCGATCTGTCTATTCATATAGGAACTTACTGGAACGTATGCAGTTGGAGCAGTTGGTTAAGCTAGCTCCTTTGGCAGAAATAATGTCTCCTACAAATCAAAAGCATATTCTTGTTTTGGCGCGGTTAGCTGTCCAGTCGCCTGTAATTGCTGAAGAGAGCATGAAAAATTGGATCCAGTCGGGAACAGGAGAGAGATATATATATTTATTGAAGGTAGTTAATGTAAACCAGAGACTGAGTTGCATACAAAAGTCTGATCTTCATATGAAAGTTGTATTCTTAAGGGGGGCTTACTCAATCCATCCATCCATTTATGTTATCTAGCCTGACATTAAATGTAGAAAGTGTTGTCAGACCGATTTATATATATATATATATAAAAAAAGAATATATATATATATATATAAATAATTTCTCAAGTCTTGTCATGCAGATCATTAATGCTTTGTCTGTGTGTATTAATGTTCTCCGCATTCTGGTAACAAAAACAGTTTATGAACATTATTAAGTATTATTAGACTTTGTCATATGTTATGAATTATGACACACACACAACACGCCACAGTTTGGATGATACCACACTATGGAAAATACCCTGCACTCATGCTTGTACATACGTTCAAATGATTTAAATACACATAAGCAAGGCCAGAAGCAGACTGAATGATCAATAACAGAAGAAGCAGAACGTTTTGCAAAGAACCTAATTCTTCAAGTAGATATTTGGTTGTAAGTCAATGATTGTTGGATTCAATCTCCCCCTAGTGGATATACATTGTAAAGTTACAGGAAAATAGGACTTAGAATGCTTTCTGTAATCTGATGTAACTGACATACACTTAATTGAATATATTGCTAGGTATAATTATGAGACTTCAAATAAATTCAGATTAACGCTCAAAAGTGGGCGTGGCTTAGCAATACAGAGGAGTAGAGGAATATTGACCACCATCCATCCCTTGTTAGTGATGTCCAATAAGGAGATCATCCTTTAGGGTCATCACTGAGGGACACTTTGTCACAATGTCATGTAATACAAATGTTTTATGAAACTAATATTTATAGCAATTTGAGCGTGTGACACAGGTTTGGAGAGGCACATCAAAAAGTCATACAGCTCATACAGAACAGAGTGTTGCAGTAATGTACCTGCGCCTGCTTATCCTCCTGAGGTGTCTCCATCCCTGCTCCATTTAGAGCCGCAGCTCGGAATCGGATCGATGCCTTTCTCCAGCCGCTCGTCATCAATTATTCACCTGATCAGCCCTGCTGCTCATTAGATGACTAATCTGGGAGGGTGAGGAGAGTCGGGACGCTTTGAAACCTGAGACCGAGAGGCAGCAGGGAAGGGAAGGGCGGATCACATCTCCAGATCCAGAGAGATGGAGGCAGAGTTCATAGATGTGGGATTACCGATTTGTACATCTAAGTCCTGACATCCAGGAGGGTTTATAAATCTTTGATGAAACCATAGAATCACTTTGATGAATGTGCACACGTATCACCAACATATTGCACGTGCCTATGAAGGCTTCACGGACGTTAGTGTATTAAGACAGACTGGCAACAGAGCATGAACAGTGAGAAGTGAGAAGGTGGGAGTGAAGCCTCCATTAGCCAAAAGATTGCATGTTGCACTCACATTACACCCCACCTAGGTTGTTCTCGAGAACATCTGTGGTCAGTGTGGGTCACATTTTTACTGTGCCATAAATCTCCCTTGGCGTTCTCCCAGTGACGCCAGTTTTGTTATTCTCCATCTCCCTGAAATGTTGTTTAGCGGTCGTGTTTCCTTCCTGCAAAATCAGTGTCAAATGAAATAGCAAAACAGGTACGCAGTATATATTGCTGTTTTCATAAACTCACCTTCCACCTAACACTTCCAGGTAGTGCTGAAGGGGGTGTAGCTCAAAGAAAAAAACAAGAGAAAGAAAGAAAGCAGTTCTCCTTCTTTCCCACTGATCATGTACAAGCGGGGGAAGGGGGGTGGCTTTGATCTCCCATGTCCCCCTGAGAGCCACAGTGAGGTGGGAGTGCGGCGTGGCGGCTGTGGTACATGTTAGCTCTGATTAAAGGGAAATATGCATCACCGTATAGCGCTTTCCTTTTTATCTGTGCCTGCGATGTGGTGCGATGGCGACGCTAGATTGGGTCCCGATATGTTCTGATGTCGCAGCTTTATCTGTGTTCTGCCGGAGCTGAAAGCCACCTGAAGTTGAGTCCCTCTGATTTGAAACCTTTTGAGTCCGGGTAAAGTAGTTTGAAGAAGTTGAGTTGCTGAGGTTGTTTTGTGTCGGGAAGTTGCTGTTTCTCTTGTGCTGTGGCTTGTTTGAGTAGCAGCAGAAATCACAGCCTCTGACCTTTGTTACAAGGTCATGTGCCTCCAAATCAATTAGAGCCTAGGACCGGCATTCCACACTGGTGTGGCAATGACTTCCAGGGCAGGGCGAGTATTTGGTCATGACAGCATAGGAAACAAATAGGAAGTGCATTCTCTAACTTATGTTAGTGGATTAGAAAAAGGGTGGTTTATTTTTGCTCTAAATCCATCATGTCAGGCAGAATAAAAGATGCACAAAGGGAAAATTGAGATCAGAACTAATGTCATCTTCATTCATTAAATATGAAGCCATCACAAAGCAGGCAGCCATTGTTTTTATGTATTTTTTTGGAACATGGAAACCTTTCTCTGAACCTGCAGTCTTCAAAAATGTCATGTTGCATTTCAAAACTAATTTTTAGGGATTGCGTGGTCTAGCTACTAAAAGAGAGGTGTGCATTCAAACCAAAAGGTAGAAACACATTGGCACGCACGTTTGATAGGGTTTTGATGCTAAAGAAGACAGATGGAAGGGCTGTTAGGAGGGGAGGAGCACAGAGGTAAGGCATATGTAGGCTCTTAAAAGCCCTCTGGCTAACCCACTTTGCTTGACCCTTACATCCTGCACACACCTTTTCAGAGTGAATTATCAATTAATTCCATTCTCTGTGTCTCTTCAGATGAATACACAGTGACCCATGCTCCTGTCTGCCTAGGCCCAGCACTCAATCTGCCCTTTATGCTACAATAGACGAGACATTCACATCGGCAGGGTATTAAGTGTGTTTGAGGGTCAATTTATGTAGCTATTTCTTCTTTTTACTTAGGTTGAAAATATTAGTTAATTCATCTGTTGAGATACAATTGACAGGCAATTATTCATCATTAATAAAACACACAAATTGAAAATGTTTTCATGGGTTAAGAAATAGTGTTGGGCATTTTTCTGCTTTTAGCCGACATATTGTACAAAAAAAGATGATAACTAAAAGTAGTAAGTAAGTGTTACATTTATTTTCTTACTTTCCATGCTCAGTTAAAAATAGATAATATACGAGCTAATAGACACATCACCTCAGAAGTTATCTTTCAAAGGCTTGTAGCCGCAGTTAGCAATCTTAACAGTGCTCAACATTTTACCCAAGTGAAACAAACTGTATGACACCAAACATTTTCTAAATAAATCCTAGCTGGGCAAAATGCTTTTTGTGTAAACAGTTCTGAATTCCATTAAATGCATGACACTGGATACTTGGCAGGGACCTCTAAGACTTGAAATGTCTTGAACAAAGCACATCTTTATTTTCACAAACATCAGATTCTTCAGGTACACAAACAGTCACAAGCACAAACACTTTCAGTCTTTTTTTTTTTGTTGGACACACTCAACATAATTAGTGAGTCAAACACATCACATAACCTAACGTGGGGCTTTTCACTTTCTGACTTGTGCTGACAGTCATGGTATGATTCTCATCTAACTGAGGAAATAAGAGTCTGACCCTTAATTCTGTCACTTCCTGGTTTGTGTTGAGGGCTTGAAAATAAAAGGACAGTTCATTGATGAACACTCAAACACAGCATTCAGAAACTGTAGATGACCCACTAAGTGTGACACACATCAGTGCTTTCCCCTTCATTCACAGTCCCACGTTTTGTGTCAGACACATAAGGACAACTCTTCATGGCTTTTGTTGCCAGTAGGCAATGATATATTCATCTCTTGTTACCCTCCTCCCATATGACAGAACACAGCAGCTGATTCACTAGTTACTCTATGTAAATATATATATTTTGTCTCAATATATCTATATATTCTATCTATGGAATAAGTCTATATCGCATATATATACTTTTGGTAGGGTTCTGAAAACATTCAGGTACATTCACTTGACCCTGTGATGTTTTTTTTTCTTCATATGAAAGATAAACACAGATATAGTAAGCAGAGATACTTGCCATGTAGCAATGGCCTCCCACCAAGAAAAACAAGACATTAAGCATCCCCAAACTTAGAAGAAAAAACATAACAAAATGTCTCAGTGCTGGTTCTTTAAGGACCAACAACAAGCATAAATATACTAAAAGACCTCTGTATTAATCTAGAGTATAAAATAGCATATTATCTGGACTTGACAACAGTTTATAATAACTCTAATAGAGTCTGTGTGCACACAATTCCACAGGTGTACAAGAGCTGGCAACAACAGGTAGGCAATTTGATGGTTTCCTTTGCGTAAGTCAACAAAAAATATTCTGTTAGTGGTTAAAAAGCTTGAATGCAAAACTCACTTCTACAATCACTAGTGTGAATAGACCTTGGCATATCACAGAATACACAAAAAGGCAATACTCTACAAGTCAGGGGGTTGAATTTGGCCTACGGAGGACCATGTTGACAGTAAGCCCTACTATGCATGAACATCGTTTTTTCAGAAGGCCACAAGGATGTCACTTGGGTGCTGGTTAGGAAAGTGTTCCTTTATGGGTCTGGGTTGACAGAGGACCCTAATACTGATCTTAAATCGGGCTGTAAAAGTTCAAGTCATAACTGAAATATTATTTTCCTGTTACAGGAGCAATATTACATTTAGGCATTGTGTACACTTACTGTTTTATTTTAACCAGTAATAACCCAAGGCCAATAGATAATTGTCAGCCATTGTGACATTAGACAGTGTGCCCCTGTTACGAGATTTACATTTCTTATTATTTTGCAAAGGGTCAGTGCATCCAAATTTAAAAACACATTTTCTCACTTTACCATAGTGGAATCTAGCATTGCAAATTTGGTAGTATCAGATTATAAAACGTAGGTACATGGGAATTTGTTTGTGGTACTCGGGGTACTATACAACACTTATTTTCCTCTGGATAATCCACAGATTAACGCGGACACAGTTTCTGCAATGAGATGTTTTATAATTTAAAGAATGTAAATTATTCTTTGTTTGGAGATCAAAAACTGAGCACATAAAACCATATATATATATTTCTGAATGGCTAGATACCATAGAGATTAAGTGAGTTGACCCTTTAACAGTATTACTGTGTCAGCTAGGTTATAATTACCCTTTTATTACGATTTAAATAAGTAGAAAAAAATAATCCAACGGGACACTAAATACATACATCTCCAAACAAAAAACCAAACAGTGCAATCTAAATAACATGAAAAACAATATTGTTTAAAAATTGGATTATCTTTCCTTGAGAGAATGTACCTTATGAATTGTATCACAAAGATCAATTTCTACCATTTATTTTAATATTATCTTTCTTTGCTCCTGGACCAAGACAAATGTGCCAACTGGTGAAATATGAAACTAGTGATAAAAGTCATAAGAGAAACTCTCCATCCCTGTGTAGCTAATTTTTCAGACTGAGTATGTGTGAGAAGTAACAGTAAAGGGCTCCATGCCCATCCAGGACTAGGCTGGATAGTGTGGGCTTGGAGCAGGAGTGTCTAGATCCCCCTCAGCCTCACCTTCTTCCAGGACGGAGTAGGAGCTCAGTGCGTCCCACAGAAGGCTTGGCTGCTCACAGTGGTGGCGACTCCTCCAGTGCTCCATAACTCCGTCTTTAGTGTCCAACACCTCGCTGCAAAGCACGCAGTTGAAGGCCGCACCTGCTGCAAGGACGCCAAGTCTTCCTCCGCCGCCTTCTGGTGAAGAGAGGGTCACACTATCCTCCCCCTCTTGGCCATGGTGGTGGGACATGATGTGCCTCTTAAGTTTGGAGAAGGAGACAAACTCCTCGTTGCAGCTGCCGCACTTGACCAGGTTGCGCTTCTCATTGAGTTGACGCCAGTAGTGGGCAGCGTGCTTCACCAGCTCGTTTTCAGCCTCCCGGCCACCGCGCAGTTGTTGACCATCATGAAGTGGAACCTGGATCTCCTCCCCATGCACATACAGCAAATGCATCTTCATGTCGGCAAAGGTGGGAGTGATGGCTTGGCAGCGGCCACATTTTATCTGCAGCTCCACAGGGTCTTCCCGATCCTGCTCATCTGATGGCTCTGAGTTGGCCCTGAGGAAGATGATTTAAAACGTTAATATGACAGTTTAAAAAACGTCAGGTAATCAATATGTTTATTCAGGCAATTAATCTATAAATTGTGCCATCACTGCATAAAACCTGCAACAATTAAGTAAGTGCTCAATCAATATTAATCTTACCCCTCTACTGACAGGTCATCCTCGTGATGGCTGATGGACGGCTCCACGGTCAGCACCACCTTGTGAACCTCTCTCAGATGACTGAAGTAAACCCCGACATATCCAAAGGACTTCTCGCAGAACTCACAGCACAGAGACCGACGTGGGCGTACCTCGGAGTGGTGAAGCTTCATGTGGGTGCTCAGGCTTCCAGAGTGAGCGTACGCCTTGCGGCAGACTGGGCAGGCGTAGGGCCGGCTGTTGGTGTGACTGTTCATGTGGCTCTGGAGGTGATGCTTGAACTGGAAACAGCGGCTGCAGGTAGGGCAGCGGTGAAGCGGACGGCTGCTTACGAACACTCTTGTATGCGAAGCACCTTTCAGTTGTAGGGTCACTGGGGCTGTTGGGGGAGGACTGTCCAGGGCCTTGGTTGTTGTAGTGGTAGGGAGTTGATGATCGAGTACAAGCTCCTGTTCTTGGGCATCTGGAGTAACCGCAGGCAAACTAACCAGTTGGGGAACTGTCTCCATGACCAACATGGGCTTGGGTCTTATGCTGCGGTACTTCTTTGAAATATCAACTTCTTTTTGTTTAGAGCCTGGAACAACTGCTGGCGGTTTCTCTGGGACTCTTCCACGGAAAAAAGACAAAGACCTCTTCTTTCTGGCTTCAAATGCCAAGATGTCCTCCATTGTCTTTCTCTTCCTCCCCCTCTTCTTACCAGGGTGGGTTCTGCAGGGTTCCCAACACAGGCATGAGTGTGGTCTTTGAGTTGGGCTGAAGAGTGGAGTTTGGGACCAGGTTCTGAACCAAGGCTTCAGATGTCTCGAGGGTCTTGGATGTAGGATCTACGGGGCTGGTGAGTCCTGTCTGGCTAGAGAAACCCTTCTTCTCTGGAGACAAATTGCTGAGCTGGGCAGCTGGGATGAGGGTATTCTTCATCTTAGAGTAGGGCAGAATGGGCAGTTTACCCTTTGGTGGGGACGGGATTATCTGGACTGCTTTGCTGAAGATGGCTGAGGACAGGACAGTGATACTGCTCTGGGGTTGGGCTACAGCAGAATTAGATTGGCACAGCCTCATTGTAGTCTTGCTTTCCTCAAGGGACTTACTTGGGGAGCCTTTGACAGCAGTAGGGGGGTACTGGAGGTTCTGAATAAGACTAGTTGTAGCAGGTCGTTCAGAGCAATCTGGTGCTCGCTCTAACTGAGAACCCGGGTACAGGACTGCATTGTCTGGGAGAAGAGCAGTGACGGAGATATCAGAGGAGGCTGGGTCAATCAGAATCACCTGCTCTGAAGGCTCTTCTTTGGGCACTACGATATCCTTTGTTTGCTCATGTTGCTTTATCTTCATAACTGTTGGCCCACAGGAAGCTGACATGGATTGTGCTGAGGCCGCAACCTTGGGGACAGTTTTTGCCCTGGCAGCCAGTGGTGGTGACTTGACCTTATCTGTGGTCCCCTTGCTTCTCATTGGCTGGTATCTGGGAATGGGCAATTTTGGGTTTGTTTGAGTTTGCTGCTGTTGTTGCTGTGGTGTCTGAGAGGAGACCGAAGGGGGAAGTGCCACCAGAGAAAAAGTGCCATCCTGACCTGCTATTTGCATCAGTGCATAGTTTTGGGTGGGCACAATGATGGACTTGGGGCTAGTGGCGGTGGCAGCCTCAGGGAGGGCAGAGGTAGGCTGGCAGGACAGGACCGCAGGGGAGGGGGAGGGCGCCACGGCCGGGGCCTTAGGGGCGATGCTCCTGAACTGAAGGCTCTTCATCTGAAGGGCTGGACTCACTGGCTACCAACTGGAACACAAAAGAAACAGAATGTTGTTAGTTTTTAGATACAACTCTGAGACAAGATAGCCTTTTTTGCTCCAAACATTTCTAACCCTTGACTTCTAACCTCAAGATTCCACAGCTACTGCTCAAATGGGAATGACAGTATGATTGCTGTTTTAAATGTATTTGTTCTAACATACTAAATAGGAATAATTCAGAAGGTTACTTCTGAAAGATGGCAAGATCATGAGTGAGAATGTAACCTCACTGCACAAGGCCTTAGTGTTTTGATGATGTCATTGCTGTTCAACCTAACAGGAGAGAAGCCAACATTGTATAAACATACCGTCAAAAATACAAGCATCTGCACAAGTGTGACAAGCTGTCCTATTACCCATGTCTCCCTGGTCACACACAGCACACTCACTCTCCCCCGGGCTAAGGACAGACTGCCCCCTTTGATTTCGGCTCAGCATGTAGCCAAGGTACATGCTGGGGCTCTGCGGGGGGGCTCCTCATACCCCCCCTCACTTCCTGGAAGGATAAGCCAGTGGACCGTGAAAGCTGCCCAATGGCAGGATCTTTACAAGATGAAGAGGGGTCCCCTCTCATCTCCCCCTCCACTGACCAGCACTGCAACCTGGCCGAAGGCTATGAGGATGCCCCTGAAAAAAGCCCTGAATTTACTTTATCATCCCTTGTTCACAAACAACATTTCATGGTTATCCAACGGGGATGAGGCTTTTCCACTGAGTGGATCGCCATTATGACTGTGTTGATACAAAATACCGCTGAAGTCTAAGGGGAAACTATAACCTCATAGTGAGGTTTTAAACAAGACTATATTATATAAAACTACCGTACAGTTTCCATCCATCAATCAAAAGCCACAGGTATGGCTTTAAAAACAAAGGCAACATTCCCTTTATTTATATCAATACTGAATCTTTATATCAAAAGGAGGGAGAGATTACAGAGAAGTGCTTCAAAGGGCCTAATTGTAAACAGACTGAGGTTTAAATTTCACATTAAGGCCCGACTTTCAATAGCAGCGTTTGATACAGGCGTTCCAACTCCACTCTGTGATAATAATAATCAGCATAAAGTGCAACAATCTGGAGGTGTCACAAAAGGCAATATTCAACAACAGAATGTCTCAATATAAAAAAAAACATTGTATTCATTTTCAAAGAAGTCTGGGCAAGACACTTTATACATTCAAAAAGAAGGAAAGAAAATAAAAACTGCAAAGGGCATATTGTTTAACAGCTGGAAGTGTTTCAGTGCGGAGAGATTATTTATACAGTACCCCTACCGCATTACGACTCCATAAAACTGGAGATATTCCTTCTCTGTGTGGATAGTTGACTCCAGTTTGACTGTGACTTTGGCTGAACACCGAGTGGAATAAAACCCTGGGATGCATGTTCTGCTGGGCATTTTATGTGGCTATAGAAAAGTGGGAGATTGGGGTAGAGGCAAAGCTTGGCGATTCATTCTACCATGTGGAAGTTTTCAGTTGGACATGAGGGGGGAAAAAGGTGTGTAACAACAGCTGGAGAAGCAGCCAGTAGCCCTATAATCCTTTTGTCACAGATGATCCAGCAGACGCCACCTGACACCAAGTAACTCCACACAAAAACAAGATCAGCTTTAATATATCCCATTGTCGCATTCCAACTGGAAAATTATATAAATAGAAGTGGAGGGTCAGATAACTTTGTTTCTTCAGGGCATCAAACATTCTACGAAAATCAAAGCATTTGATACTACACAATAAGACCATTTTACTTTGATCCTCATTATGCTAAGAAGGTAGAAGATACGGAAACAGTCTGTCCCAACAATCTTTCTCATTACGAGGCACATTTTCTCAGCAAGGTTATCCAACATCTAATCTGATCATGTAAACTGATGTTTCTATCGTATCTCTTGCGCTGCTGTGTCTACAAGCTTCTGTACACAGATGTGTTTGCACAGATTGACTGATGCCATCATGACCAGCATGTGGCAGGAGGAAGTAGAAACAGAAAGATACAGAAGAAGGAATATGCAACAACAGAACATAATGCAGGATATGATTTATTTATCATCTTTTAGCATGTTAGCATGCTATACTAGCTAATAAACACAAAATACAGCTGATATTGTAGGTATTCATTATGTCTGCACTGAATTCACTTTGATATGCTGGTGGCACTAGGGATCTGGAGGACATTTGGATAATTAAAATATGCCTTTAAAAGAATTGAATCCTAATCAATATTTACTGGGAACTATTTGACCATACTTTTACCAGGTAGCCAAAGCATGTGACGTGGAGTGGTGACCATTTCATCATTTCATCCCATCGCTCATGGAGTTGCAAGCTAGATGGTCAAATGTGTATAGGAGAGAGATGGAAAGGGGTAAGAAAAGGCTGCTTTCCACTGCATCTGTAACTGATTCTGACCCTAACCCTAGCACTGATTTCCAGAGGCCCTGAAGCTACTGATTTAACATGCACTCACACTGAGATCTACTATTAGAAATACGCTGATACAACAGGTGAGAGTCTGTGATGAAGACACAGCCTCAGGCAACACACAGTTTTCTTTAATATACAGCATGGGGCATGGACAAAGTCTCCTTCACTGGTCTAGGCTGCCAAATATTACAATTTGAAAAGGATACCTTCCACCTTCGATTTCCATTATTCCTCTCTATGAGAGTCCTCTCTTTTCATACTTTGCTTCCCCTTTTAGGATGCCTCTCAGTGTGGCTCTATCTGCATAATCAGTATGTTAACAGCTCTCCTTTTTCAGTTCAGGCACATGGGAGAGGATCGCGTGAAAAAGGGAACAAAAGAAAGGAGAGAGTAGAAGAAGGGAAGCCTTTTTTCAATTGTGGATAGACCAGTGACGGTCAGCTTGCCCTGTCATCATCATTCTCTGTTCTCCTGAGGTGGTCCTTGTGCACAGTGAGGTGCGGAGGAAAGACAGAAACTGTCTGGAACACAGCCAGAGCGCGACAGATGCTTAAAAGCCAGAACTGTAAATCTGCATCTGATCATGGTGATCCAGACTCAGCTGGGAGAACAGCAGTGACAAAGTGTGTAAAGGCAGAGACAAAACAAAGGCTATAATTCAACCTAGAGTCATTATTCATATACTAAAAAATGTAGGGGTAATTATTTTAGAAGCAAAGGGTTTCAAAAACACAGCCATTGCAATTTATCAATAGTACATTGTCCTACATGTCTCAGAGGTCACTAGCATTAGCCCATTAACCAAGTTACTGTTTCATTGCCTGAAAGTGCCCTCCATTGCAAACCTGTGTCTAACTAATTGGTACTGGGATCTGATGGGCCTGTGTCTCCTAAAGGGTATAACACAGTGGGGCAAGGGAAGAAAAGCACAGAGAGGTCACAGATGCTACTCAATCTGCCGCTGGATTTGAAACGCCAACCACTCTAATCTGACTGGGGTCAGAGGTCGGGGCTAGGGTGACGCAAAAACCTGGTTTGCGGGGAGAATTTGAGGCTGAGGGAGAAAGAGAAGAAGAAACAACGGTGGGGGTGATCCACAGAGACAGATTATCAGGTAAAGCCACAGGGGTGAGAGGTGAGGATCTGCTGTTTATGCTGGAAACAGGTCAGGGTTGAGCAGGAGGGCAGTGTTGGGACGGGCCAGGCATCCACCTGGAATGGAATGGTATGAAGTGAACTCCACAAGCTACACACACAGCTCACATCAGCAAACCTGGACCTGAGTCACATGTCCAGCCAAAACTGATGAGCTGACCAACAAAACAACCTGCTTATTGTTCACCAGTAATGCAATTTATTGAGAGGGGAAAGCAGTGCTCTGTGAAATGTCAAAACATGGAGAGTGCTGTGTTTTGGTAGCATCCCTGCTGCTTTATCTGACTCTGTTTTGTCTTGCTTATGGCCAGCTACTGTTTAAACTGCAGTGGCTGCATTTTTCTCCCACAATAGGGAAAGGGAAGTAGTTTCCCTTGTGGTTGGTTTGAAAAAAAATCAAATGTGAAGTGTTTTGAGGAAAGCAGAGCGGGGAGCAGAGTAGTGTGAGGTTTGTTATCTCTCTTGTAGGTGAGAGCAATGCTCATCTGGGACTCTGAGATAGAGCCTGGAGATGGAGGGGGTCTGGAATGAAGTAGGGGTGTGTGTGTGTGTGTGTGTGTGTGTGTGTGTGTGTGTGTGTGTGTGTGTGTGTGTGTGTGTGTGTGTGTGTGTGTGTGCAGACCCAGCAGAGGCCAAGCTCCCCCAGGTTTTAGCCCAGATGAAAGGCCAGGATCTGGGCTAGATAAGAGGGCAGATCACGGGGGGTCGGGGCCAGCCGGCTGTGCGAAGCCATGTCCAGCGGCCATCTTTCACCAACCTCCTCCCTCTCACACACACACACACACACACACACACACACACACACACACACACACACACACACACACACACACACACACACACACAACACACACACACACACACACACACACACACACAACACACACACACACACACACACAACACACACACACACACACACACACACACACACACACACACACACACACACACACACACACACACACACACACACACACACACACACACCACACACACACACACACACACACACACACACACACACACACACACACACACACACACACACACACACACACACACACAAACACACACAGTATGCGGGATTAGTGACCCTGAGAAAGGTAGTTAAAAAAATATATTTCTTTCTTTAGACAATTATAACAAATAAACAATAAAAGGCACAATCTGTGAATGATGCAGTCCAAATGGAAATTAGATAATTCCATTTGTTTTTTCCTCCTGAGTGAACTTAAGCGTTATCTGTGCTCAATTGCTTTTTCCTGCATGCATGCTAACTGCTCATCTTTGCTCCCCAGCCTAAGGTGTACGTGTGTGTGTGTGTGTGTGTGTGTGTGTGTGTGTGTGTGTGTGTGTGTGTGTGTGTGTGTGTGTGTGTGTGTGTGTGTGTGTGTGTGTG